CATAATACCGCTTGAAATTCTGAAGAGAGCAAGGGATCGCGGTCAAGACATGGACCGTTTATGCACACAAGTACCACTTCCTGATGTCAACGCATACGATGCATCAGGGAACAGGATGGACTTCTTGGGCTGTGTGCAGCTGAACCTAGGCCTTGAAGGCAGAGGAGAGCACCCAGTAAGGGCCTATGTCAAAAAGCTAAATGATAACGTCATCCTATTAGGTACCAATGTCCTGCGGACCCTAGGCATCCACATTGGAATTGAACGATGCACAAGCACGGAAGATGAGGGATGTACTACAAGAAGCGGTTGGCAAGAAACGCTTCACCCAATACAAGGAGACGCTATGCCAGTTAGGCAAAATCCTCTACAGGAACCACTGAGAAAAAAGAGCAACGTGGTGGCAGTTGATGAAGAAGGTCAGAAGAGTCGCGTGGAATGCGCAGGAATCTTCGCAGCAGGAACCAGAAGAAACTTCCAGAGAAGCCACCGTAGTAAAACGGGTATATCTCAGTCCAGGACAATGCGCGCTGATCCAGGTGCAAGGAAATGGTCAGAAAGAGGACGCGGCACTTTGTTCAGTCAACGCAAACATTCCGACAGGTGTATGTGAATTTTCACAAAATGGCACCACGGAAGTACCTGTACTCAACCATACATCACAGCCCATAGTCTTCCAAGAAGGACAGAAGATCGGAGTCTGGGAAGAAGTTGACTGGATACAAGCGGCAACAAAGGACATAGAGTCGGACATGTTGGAACTACATGAGGAGCCGCAACACACATCTGAACGAATCGCTACTCTGTTGGACCATTTACAAAGAAACCGCAAATGCGGGCATTTCTCAGAACGCTTGCTGGAACTGGTCGAAAACTTCCAAGATGTGTTTGCCCTGACAGACAAGGAGCTAACACAAACAGACCTGATCGAACATAATATCGACACAGGAGACACAAAAGGCGATCAAGCAGAGAACTAGGCCAGTACCACAAGGAGTGCGATCAGAACTCAAGAGCATCTTGAATGACCTAGAAGAAAGAAAGATCATAAAGAAGTCAACATCGGACTGGGCTTCGCCAATAGTGTTAGTTCAGAAAAAGGATAAAACGCTGCGATTGTGCATAGACTATAGAGCACTGAACAAGCACACAAAGCAGGACTCTTATCCGTTGCCAATCACGGACACTCTTCTACAAAGTCTCGGAGGGAAGAAGTTCTTTAGTACATTAGATATGGCTTCCGGATACTGGCAAGTAAAACTAGCGAAGGATGCTCAACAGAAAAGCGCATTCACAACCCCCGAGGGACTGTATGAGTTTTTGGTACTGCCGTTTGGCCTGTGCACCTCTCCGGCAGTATTTCAGCGCCTCATGGACCGAGTACTCGGAGACCTTAAAGGAGAAGAAGTACTTGTCTACATCGATGATATTCTGGTCGCCACAGACACCGAAGAGCGGCACTTACAAATACTTGCGAAAGTCTTTGAGGCATTCAGGAAAGCAAATCTGAAGTTCAAGCCTCAGAAGTGCTTATTGATGGAACAGCAAGTGTCTTTCCTGGGACATATCATCAATGAAAGAGGTGTAAATATGGATCCAGATAAGGTAGTAAAAATCCTGAATTATCCCAAACCGGCTAACCTCGCAGAGCTCAGAACATTTTTAGGTCTCTGCGGATATTACAGAAAATTTGTTTTGCGATTCTCTTCAATCGCGAAAGCCTCTTTTCGATCTCACAAACGCACGAGCACCGTACGAGTGGAACAGCGAACAAGAGCTTGCGTTTGGAAAACTAAAAAGCGCAATTGCCTCAGCGCCGGTGCTAGGACAGCCAGATATAGAAAAAGCCAAGTCAGGAGAAAAACCATATATAATCTATACAGATGCAAGTACCACTGGTGTAGGAGCAGTGTTGTGCCAGGAGGGTGCAGACAACCTCTTACATCCCCTGTACTTTGCTTCGAAAAAGCTATCGAAAGCAGAGCAGCGTTACCATATCACGGATATCGAAGCTCTTGCTATAGTATATGCAATTAAAAAGTTCCACTTCTTCATTTTTGGAGTAAAAACAATCGTTAGAACAGATCATCAACCGCTGACAACATTGTTCAAAAGAAACAACGTATCACCACGCGTCATTCGTTGGGCCTTAGAACTGCAGGCATACAACCTGGAGATACAGTATGTAAAGGGGAGCGCGAACAAGGTAGCAGACGCACTCTCACGAGGCCTATCGGACGATAACGGATATGTAGAAGAGCCCGAAGAAATCCGTGTAGTAAGCTCTATTGATTGTGAGTCTGAATGGCTTCAGGAACTGAAAAAAGATGACGACTACAGAGAAATAATAGAGAAGTTGCAAAGAGGTGACACTGAAGGATGAAGTCCAGCTGCCACGGCAGCAAAAGAAGTTCAAAGTATGCGATTTCTGCATAGTCAGGGGAAACCTCAACATCATACTGGAAGATGGTTCACTGGCCAAAGTGGTCCCGAAATCCAAAAGATTCGAAGTTTTCAAAGAAACGCACGCAGGATCCTTTTCCGGTCACTTCAACGCAAGAAAGATAGCTAAATTTCTCAAGAAACGTGTGTTCTGGGAGGGGCTGCAACAAGATGTTGTGAAATGGTGTGCGGAATGTAGGAACTGTTTTTTAACAAATGACCGAACCAACAAACCGCCTCCACTGAAGCCCTTTGAAGTAGCAAAACCATTCGAAGTGATAGGTATTGACGTACTTGAGGTAGGACCCTCTTCTAGCGGAATGAAATACCTGGTCGTAGTAATCGACCACTTCTCGAAATGGCTGGGAGCGTACCCTGTTCCTTGTAAGTCAGCCGAAGAAATTGCAAAGGTAGTCTTCAAAAGATGGATCGCCGAAGGGGGGCGATGGCCGAAACGAATCCACTCCGATAGAGGAAAAGAGTTCGAAAATAGCGTTATGGACGCCCTTTGTAGGATAACAGGCATAAAGCAATCATTCACCAAAGGGTACAACCCAAGAGAGAACGGCGTGACAGAAAGGGAACAAGACAATCCTCCGAATGTTAAAGAAACGGGGAGGGATAGTGTCGGAGTGGGACGAAGCTGTGCCGCACGTAGTATACGCCTACAATATTTCACCTCACGAGGCGACGAATGAAAGCCCGTTCTTCATCTTACATGGATTCGATCCGGTATTCCCATCCAATGTAATACCATCGGATGAACTATCACCATACAGAATAGACATAGACGATTACAAAGCCTCACTAATGAGTGGTATAAAAGTAATCCAAGAAATCGTCAGGGAAAACAACGAAGCTTACCGCAGTAGGATGAAAAAGTACTACGATAGTACCAAAGGGGTAGACCCTACCCGAGCGCCAAAAGTAGGAGATAGAGTGCTAATGCGCATGCCTACGGAAAAAGGGAAAATGAAACACCCGAAACTTACGATAGATTGGGCAGGTCCCTATAGAGTTGTAGAAGTCAGCTCGAACTCAGCTGTCATTACAAAAATCAACGCAAATGAAGAGCCAGTGCAAGTGCAGTTTGATTTACTACGGGTTATACCACATTATATAGACGACACCCCAGTGATAACGGCGTCAAAAAGACGTAGAACAAACATTGCTGCAAAAAATGTTCAACTTAATGAAAGTATCTCGGTAAAAAGTGTTCAACTAAATGAAAGTGTTTCATTTAGGTCCGGACTGAAGCAGCTGATTCTGACAGAAGACACGTCTCATCCTCTGCATCTGCGATTCATATGCCATGAAGATCACCTCGTCAAGCCACCTGGAGACTATAAAGGATACCGTATCGGGTTCAAGTGCCCGCTCGTCCAAGAAGAGAACGCAAGGAAGGCTGTCCAATGTATTGCAGGACTTGCCTGAAACAATGAGAGATATCACCTTCAACAGCCTGGGACGACTGGCAGAACTCATCACCATCTGGATGACGGAGGATTGGTCAGATGACCACAAACTATTCATGATGGCCAAGCAGAATGCAAGAACGAAGATCTCAGGAGAAGCCCTGGCATTAGCACTGCTATACTGTAAGAAGAAATGTCTTGCACATTCAGCTCAGCCTGGAAGAACCTGAGCCCCGAAGATGTTTATCACGAAGCGATCCAGTGCGATGAAGGCACTATTCGAGTTAGTGGAATGGTGCAAGCTGCTCTGAAGTTGATAGCAGGAAAAGAATGGAAGGGACCGTATAAAAAGGAGAAAAGGCAGCAGTACCTTCTAACCCCGCGTTGCCTGGCGAAGGTCCATACGATGCTGCAAAATACTATCACTGGCATCGCTTATGACATCAAGGATTTACCAGTGATAAATATAAATTCGGATGTCCTCGTTATAGTCGGTGCCGAAGAAACCGACGCCGACGACGTGACCAATAAATTAGTGCCATGGATAGAAAACATGGCATCAGATGACATACAGATTGCAATCGGCGTAGCCCCAATGGAGCACCAGACGCAGGAACATGAAAGAAAATGGACACGCGTATACGAGTCTATGAGAGTTGTCGTGGACAACCTCAGAAAAGTTGTAAATAATGTAACACTCCTGCCAGATGCGGAACCAGGGGAGTGGGACCACCCACATCGGTCCCTGGGCACCGCCCCATATGACCAGAATGGCCTCATCGGATTTTATGCCACTAAAAGATGGTATGAAAGCCTAAGAAAGTTTCTGGGTGCAAGCATGGCCGGCCCTTGCTGAGAAACCGCAAAAAGAAGAGGAGCCGCAGAGGAAGCGGCCACACGAAGATATCGATACGGTAAATCCGATCCGGAGGACGAATCCGCAGAAGCAGCACTGTTATCGGGGAAAGAGACTGGGACCTCATCATAAGTAATTGTGTGTTCTAAAGAAAAATCGTTATTTGTTGTACTAAAAAAATGTACCGAAGAAGCTGTTACAAACCCCAGCCAAGATAAAGGGGACGAGTGAGGGACCACTCTCAGTAACCCCGGGGGTGTAAAGAAGGCTAAGAGCTAGATCAATAAATGAACGATTTGATCGCGCATTTGGAGCTCAAAACGGTGATCGCGCGGGATAGCTCAAAACGACGAATCGCGCGGGATCACGCCCCTATAAAAGGGGTCGAGCCGATGACAAATCAGATAGTTGTCTCCCTTTCGTTTAATTCTTTTTCTTTTTCAGCGTCTCTTCACCGCGCCCCTCTATCTGGGCTTTTTTTTGTCCCTCTGTTGTCTGTTCATACTGATTTCGAGTTAACACGATAACTGCTACAAGGTATTGAGCGCTCAAAAATCGACGTGGCGTGTGCCATTAGGAGCTCTTTCATCTAACTTTGTATAGTACATACTAATTCGATTTTACTGACTAGTCAAACATCTTTCACACCTACCTCTCTTCTAGAACAGTCCAGTTTCTTTCTAGGGTGCTGACTGTTCACCACTTGAAGGTGCTGCCTGTGGAAGCATAGCAGGAGCATTTGCTGCCGCACTGACCACCCCTCTTGATGTAGCAAAAACTCGGATTATGCTTTCAAAATCGGAAAAAGCTCCAACCATATTGAAGACTCTCAATGAGGTGACAACTACAGCTGTTTTTCATTGAAACTGAATATTTACAAAAGAAAGGGATATTTTTTCAGATATATACCACTCGTGGCTTCCCATCACTGTTTTCTGGTATCGTACCACGTGTTCTGTGGATGACAGCAGGCGGTTTCGTTTTCTTCGGAGCCTACGAAACTGTGCTAGCGCTATCTTATTGGGTACGTCCAGATAAGAAGAAGAAAAATTTGCATGAACCTCCATTAGTACCATAGGCTTGTTAAAGTTATTTGTCATTATTTAGTTGTTATTTTCCCAATTTTGACTATTTGACCCTTTATTTCTCCGTTCGTCCTTCAGTTGCACTTGCAGTTTTGGACATTGACTTCTTTGTTGACGATTTGAACCTCTAGGTGCAAAGGTTGTAAATTTTTAGGCTCTAGTTTAGTTCTTTGTTAGGATTGTATTCTCTTGAGCTCAGGAAGATTGCTCATGACGTAGTGGATTAGTGTTAGGTTGCGTTCATACTTCGTGACTCAGACAATTTTGAATCAAGCGAACTCAACGATCGAGAGTGCTCTATCGCTAATCGTTGGACCACTACAACTGCTAATGATGTCATCCCTTTCTCGAGTTTTCTCATTATTGCTTTTTCTCTAGACTTCATATCTGAACAGTTGTGAGGTGGAGGTGATGTAATGGCAAGTGGCAGCTTACCACACACGCG